TCTCTCTCTCTCTCTCTCTCTCTCTCTCTCTCTCTCTCTCTCTCTCTCTCTCTCTCTCTCTCTCTCTCCACCAAAAAAAAAAATATCAGAGATATGAGGCGGCAATTTGCGACCTTGCTTGCTGACATCGGTTTTGTCAAGCTGCCAAAGGTATGTTCTTTTGTTTGGTTGATATGGAGGTTCTAGTTTGCTGGAAGAAATGGGGCATCGTTCCACCATTTGCCAGATGTGGAAATGTTGAATGTATATTTTTCCACATTTGGGGAGGACAAGACACACTCGACATTTTAACATTTGGTGACAAGCGACCTCCTACAAGCATCTGCTTAGCCGAACTGAGCCTGCAGTCCTTGCAGGGAAAAAGGAAACCGCAGCAATGAATCTTGGAGCCAGGTACATGCAAATGTACCACTCTGTGAAAAGCACCCAGATTGTCCCGCTATCGTTGTTTGTAGAGGCTGCAGGTCATCCCATCATCAGAGGCCAAGCAGGGGAATTTTTTGCTTTTCTGGGTTTAGAGTTTTGGATTGCTGTAGACTACTCTGTGGTGGAATTCTCTTTGCTTGCTTCAATCAGAATCAACGTTTTTCCTTTTCCCAGAAAATTTTTCAAAATGTTGCACACTGTGTTCTAAATCTTAAATGCGATGAGGATTTGCAACATTCAAAACGATTAGGAAACTAGTAAAGATTCTAAAGAAGGAAAGTGTAACCCATGTCCTTCGGGACATCCATCAAATTGGAACAATACAGAGAAGATTAGCATGGCCCCTAGAGAGATGGTTAACGGAGACCTAAATTTTCAGACTTGTCATGCCATTTATAACAAAACAAATGAGACCAAATTTGGTACACCCAAACCTTGACCCAAAACAAAAACAGCCACAAAAAAAAAAAAGAGCCAACAACAACAACAACATAAAATTTGACCCCCAAATGGGGGTCCCCGTTAACCATTAGTGGACCCCTACGAACTCAAGGATGATATGCATGAATTGAGAAAACATAACCCATCTGCCACACACATCCTTTTTCACTTCCCGGACTGGGGCATACAGGCACTAGGACTTTCCTGGATGTATATGACTGCTTTCCGACCCGCGTGGATGCATCTGACCACAATCACGTCCACAGAGAAGTGGAAAAAGTTGTAGGTTGAGTATGCCCTTGGAATGGTCACCTGTCTCCACTGTGGCGACCATACCAATTACGTGCAGTTCAGAGGGCAAGAAAATAAATGCCCCTCATCAAGCACTTTGTGCCTACATCTATCCTTCCATCCAGTCCTCCATTTGTCTGCAAATTCTCCTTCTGCGGCCCACTATCCCCCATTTGGCAATTGATTCCTCCTTCCATCAGGCACTTCGTGTGTACATCTGGCCCTTTCTTTATCCAGCCCGCCATCCTTCTTGTTTTTCCTATCGTTCTATGTCCTTCCCTTGGACATTCTCCTGGTTTGTCCCTTCATCCACTTTTCTCCATTCTCCAGCTTTCCATCTATCCCTCGTGTCTCACTCCCTTTACTCTTCCCACACTCCATCGACCCCTCCCATCCCATCCTCCCCTCCAACCGGTCATCACTTTGTCCCTCAGTTTATCTGCCCAATCCCCATCCCTTTATCCTTCTGTCCTTGTATTCCTCGCTGGTCCATCTATCCATATATCCATCTGTTGGTCCATAGATACCTTTGTCTCTCTATCTCCATCCATCGACTCTTTGCTTGTTGTTTTTCGTCAATCGAACAATCATAGCTCCTTTATGTAAATTTCCAAAGTGAAGATGATTCTGCGAGGATCTGGGTCCTCGGCAGGCCTGAGGGGCCCCTACTACAGAAGTGCCCGCCCTAAGTGAAGGCGGGCCTAACAAATCACGAGAGGCCCTAAACTGTCAATTTCGTATTTGGGGTCCAGGCAGTTTCGTCACGCCAGTTGGTTGAGGGAAACACAGGCCGAGCAGCGAGACATTCCACGGCCTTCCAGGCCTTTCCAAAAATGCAGGCCCTGGGCGAGAATCGCAGCCTCATACACAGGCAGTTGGGAGGCCCAACCGAACGGAGGCCCAGCAACAGCGTCGATGCACGGCCTCCTGGGGCCTACCGGAAGCTTCTGGGCAAAGGCCCAGGCCAGCCAGGACGCCAAGAGAGGCAGGTGCTTTCCATATAGGAAAGAGCTCGCTGCGGGGCAGGGGATTCAGCACTTGCATGCTGGTGGCAGCGCTGCTGGAGCGGACGCTCATGGGCTGCTGCTGGCGCTGAGAGGCAAGGTGCTAGCGTGTGCGGTCGTGCAGGAAGCAGGCGCTGCTCAGGGCAGCGCCATAGCCCAGCCTCCATAGCTGGATGGGCTTGGGCTACAGTGAGGCGCAGGGGTGTTCTTCGGGTGTACAGAGGGAAGACGTGGGAGTGAGTCAGGGAAGAGAGAGAAGGATGATGATGATGATGATGTGAGGGCTCATACCTGGTATTGGTGATGGTTTGCATTGGGCAACATCTTCAAGTACTTCGCGGGCTGCTGACGTCAACAGTTGCATTGTCGATTAGTAGGCAGGCTGTAGCTGTGTAGGAAGTAGGCTGGGCGCCGAGCGCCAAGTAGGGAGATAGGGCCTGAACACTTATGTTGGTGGTGGCGAGAGCAAGCTCTCATTGACATTGGTTTTCAGTGTTACGATTCTTCATTGGTGTTGTATTGGTGCATTTCTGCTTTCTGGACACTGTGATAGTATATGGCCTTCAATGTGATTGTGCATTCTGGACATTGTCATCTCACTATTTTTCCACATAACATAGTTTTTTTTCGGCATAACATAGTTTCTTTCTTTATTTGCTTCTTTTTTTTTTTTCTTTTTTTTTTCTTTTTCTAGTCTCTTTCTTTATTTGCTTCTTTTTTTTCTTTCTTTCTTTTTTCTTTTTCTTTTATTTCTCTGTTTCTTTTTTTCTTTTTTCTCTTTCTTTTTTTCTTTTCTCTTTCTTTTTTTCTTTCGTTCTTTCTATCTTTCAGTCTTTCTTTCTTTCTTTCAGTCCTTCTTTCTTTCAGCCTTTTTTCCTTCTTTTTATTTTATGTTCCTTTTATCTTTTGTTCATTCGTTAGTTAGTTCCTTTTATTCTTCCTCCTTCTCTCTTCCCTCCTTTTCTCCTTTGTTGCTTAATTTCTTCACTTATTCCCTCATTCCAATTTCATTTTGTTCATTTAACGCATTTCGTTCTAAGGAATTTCATCCTTTAATTGTTTTTCCTTCATTCATATATATATGACGATATATATATATTTTTCAATTCATCGCTCCCCTCTTTCCTGTTTATCTTTGCTACTTTGTTCCCTTGTTCATTCCCTCATTCTTTATATTCAATCGTTTCATTTAATTCAATTCATTCATGTTGTATTATGTGTATTTCGTTTATGCATTTCCTTCAATTCATTTCGGTTGTTTATTTTCTTGTTCATAAATTCATTTTTGTTATTTAAAACATTTAATCCATCAATTCCACTTCGTTTATTCAAATTCATTTTTCTTATCCAATTGACAATATATATTATACTCTTGTTTATACTATTCACATGTCATTTATTAATTTGCTTATTCAAAAATTTTGAATTTTAAATTCATTTTGACGTTCAAAATTTTGTTCATGTACATCCATTGTGTTTGAAAAAAATTGATCTATTATTCATTCATTTTGTTTCTTCTTCTTATTATTATTATTATTCCTATTTTTCTTCTATTCTTTTGTTTGTGCTTTCTTCTTTACCTGCTTTCTTTCTTTATTACTGTCTTCTTTTATCGTTCCTTGGTTTGTTTATTGGTTTGCTCTTTCTTTTGTAATTTTTAATTGCTCCATTTATTCATCCAGTCGTTTTCATGTAGTCATTCACTTTTGTTTTTCATTTTCTTCCTTTATTTCATTCCTTTACTCGTCTTTTAGATGGTAGTCTAGCATGAAGGGGTTTGATTTTTTTCTTTCAGTAAACTATTTTGGTTTTCATTTCTTCATCTTTGCAAAGTGTGTATCCGTCTTGGTATGCAAAGCTTATGTTGTACGAGGTGTGGTGTGTGTGATGGAGCGACTTAGCTTCGCGTGAAGGTTTTACATCAGGAAACTTAAAGCACAATACTACATCCATTTGTTCATTCATTTGCTTGTTCTTTCGTTCTTTCGTTTTTTCTTTCATTCATTTGTTATTTTTTTTCTTTGTTCGTTTGTTCATCTCAATAGATCATTAAATCATTTGTCTATTCTTTCACTCATTCGTTCGTTCCATCTATCTAAGAACAAGATTAAATACACCAGGTATAATCAAACCTTTTTTTTTTTTTTTTTTTTTTTTCAAACACGTCCCCGTCAGTGTTAGTGGTGCTGATAAGAGCAGACACCGCTAACACCTGGGGGGGAGCTCCATCTATTCTATAATCCTATTGGTAGTACTAGAATGTTTAATGTCTTTGTATTTGATATTTTGTGATGCATTTCCATAAATGTTTAATATCTTTGTAAGTTTGTATTCATTATTTCTTCATTTCAGAAAGTTTGTTCGTTTATTCACGGGTACGTTTCACTCAGTCGTTCATCCATTCTCGTTCATTCGTTCATTAATTTACAATCCATTATGTTCATTCATTTGCACGGAATATGAGTGGGAACGATATACAGAAAACCAAGTTGCAAAATCACAGAGATGTCGAGGTAGTCGTGTACAAGCAAAGAGAACAAATGCACCGAGATCCCATCCAAATAAGAGCAATACAATGAAGTAATGAGCCAATGTTCAAGCCCTCAGGCCACACCAACACAGTATCCAAAGTCGCTCCTCTTTGTCTGGCGCCCAGCGCCCAGCCTACACTACCTGATTATCCTACCTACATCAGCATTCTCGCAACAGGCTCACTTCGACTCTCGAAGACCAATGCACATGATGTCAACACCATAGCCGACCTCTCCAATGTACCAGGTACGTATCTCGCTTCCCCTCATCAGACCCTGTCCACCCACACTCGCCTCCTTCCTGAAGACCACTGATCACCCTCTTACCTCCTTGCGCCCTGCAGCCCGGCTATGACTGCAAGCACTCCGCTGCCCTGCAGCGCCCCACTTCACCACTCACGCACCCGCACACGCTCTGGCCCCAACGCAGCACGCAGCCTCTCACGCAGCAGCGCAGCAGCGTGACCGCACTGCCTACGCGGGCCAGAATACCCCAGCCCTGGCTGCTCTTCTTCGTATATGGAAGTGGCAGCCCCTGGCTTGCTGTGTGTGGCCTGGCTGGAAGCTTCCAGTAGCTTCCTGTTGGGCCCCAGTACCTGCGCCCAGACCCGAGACTACAGTTGAGGGTCTGTGCCCTTTACAGTTGGGCACAGCCTCAGTCTCCAGACTTGGGCCGTTTGCTGCATTTGCACAGGACCCCGGGGTAGGTACATCGACAGTACTGCTTTTGCATAGGCCTGTGGCCACTTCAAGATGTATTGGCCCTGCTTTTTGTGTATGCGCCCAGGCTCAACTGCCAAGGCCTGGGCCAACTGTACGACGCAGCTTAGTGAGGCTCACGCGTCCACTCAACCAACTGGCGTGCTGCAAGAGCCTGAATACCCACATTTGAAAAATGTCGAATTTCGGCCTTTGATGAATGTTCAGGCCTGCCTTCACTTAGGGCGGGCACTCGGCTTGCTGGGCGCCTCTGCCCAGAACATGTGTATGTCTGATAGGGGCCCCGTGAGGGCTCGTTCCTCGCACATTCGTTAATTTACATCCATTTATTCATTTGTTTACAACCATCCATTGATTCACTTTGTTCCTTCATTCATTCTCTCTTTCATCCATGTGTTCATCTATTCTAATTCATTCATTTGTTCATTCGTTCATTTATATTCATTCGTTTAATGAAGCAATTTATTACGCTAATCAATCTGTCCATTCCTCTACCCATCCATCGTCTATCCGTCTGTCGATTCATCTATGTATTTATTGAATTTATTCACTACTTCATTCAATGAATTTTAATCGTGCATTGATTTTGGTTTTTCCCCGTAATCAAAACTACGCATTGATTCGTTTTTTTTTTTTTAACAACTCTTCTTTTTCTATCCTGAAATTCACTGTTTTTTTTTTTCCCTTTCGAACTCTTTCGTGATTTCTCTGAAATTATATCTTTAGATTCTTTACAACATTTACATTCATTCATTTGAATCAATTATTAATTGTTCGCTCATTGGTTCATTCAAATTCATTTGTGAAATATTGATATGCACCATGGGCACTCAATCATGTTAGCAAAATGCGCTCTTCTTCTTTTTTTCAAGTTTTCTCCTTTGTTTCTGCTTTCCTGCCTTCTCTCTCTCTCTCTCTCTCTCTCTCTCTCTCTCTCTCTCTCTCTCTCTCTCTCTCTCTCTCTCTCTCTCTCTCTNCTCTCTCTCTCTCTCTCTCTCTCTCTCTCTCTCTCTCTCTCTCTCTCTCTCTCTCTCTCTCTCTCTCATTTTCTTTGGTTTTCCTGCTTTGGCAGGTCGTGAAAATGGTTCAGCAAAAACAAAATTTGGCACCAATTTGTGCAGTAGCAGCAGTAATATTTGGTGCTACATGAAAATGGGAAATACCCAGCTCATGTGCCTGAAGGTCGACGCAAATAACTCTTGATACGCAGATCATGAGTTCAAATGTTGATCAAGTCAGATGGATGCAATAAAAAAAAAAAAATGTTAGGGACCACCCCCTCTTTGGAGAAAAAGAAAAAATAGAGAAAGAAAAAGGGGCCAAGTGGGCAGAGGCATGTATGATGGCTGAAGCATGTGGGTGGTTTTATTGCATTTGTGCGGATAAGGACAATTGACAGAACTGAAAATAATTCTAAAGGGAAAATGTGACTGACAAGTGGATTCTGAAACTGGAGTGGCAGGGCTCAGCAACAAAGGACAAATGGGCACCCGATTGGGTAGACGACCCGAAACAATTGTGGAATGTACATGCACTTCAACCCTCAATCGTCAAGGTAGAGCGCAATGTCTTTCCCTCTTTCCGTACTTGTTTCACAACTTTCACTTTTTTCTTTCCAAAAGGGCGACAGCCACGAGATATCGGTCATATCGCCATTGCGCTAACCGATTGCATCCGTAATTCAGAATTACGTTGTTTTGTTCAACCGATTGCATCCGCATTCAAACTTCGGTCTGTATTTCAGCAGCTCATGGGTGTACAATTGAGCTAGGCCGCACAACTTTCACTTTATTTGGCTTTTTCTCCTTTTCTAAAAATTATTTTCCTCTCCCTCCTCCCTCAGAGTAGGTGGTCTCAAAGCTGAGACACTAGGATATATGGATTTAATAATTTATCACATTGTGAAATTTGTTAGACTATAGTAATTTGGGATTCTGAATCCAAATTATAATAACATTGACATGTACGAATGATGATTGTTATAAATTACTTGTGCATGTCAAATTCCAGAAATTTATTTTATTTATTCTTTTTTGAATATCGTACTAAGCAATTACTAATTACATCATATCGGTGCTGCAACTGAGCGGTGTGCTGTATGTGTGCCGCATGCAGTGTGCATGCACTGTGGTATGGTTTATACATACAGTGCAGCACAATGTGCAGTGCAGGAATGCACTTTGTGCATCCATTTGGCTGTGGAAACTCTGTGTGTGTGTGTGTGTGTGTGTGTGTGTGTGTGTGTGTGTGTGTGTGTGTGTGTGTGTGTGTGTGTGTGTGTGTGTGTGTGTGTGTGTGTGAGAGAGAGAGAGAGAGAGAGAGAGAGAGAGAGAGAGAGAGAGAGAGAGAGCAGGTCATCCTTAGAGGAGGGTCATGCTAATCATTTCACGCAATTTGTTCATGTCAGAGCATCCTCGCACTGGAACTTCTTTGAAAGAATGTGGCCTTATTCCAATGTGAGAGCGCCAGGGCATTCTCACATTGTTTTGTGAGGGCATTCTCACATCCCTGGGCAATGCTAATCGTCTGTGTATCGTTCTAATTTTAAGTTTTAAAGGATGTGCCAAAGGACAAACAGTGGAAACTTGAGTGGCCAGAAATGCAGAATTCTGGCCTTCAGATATCACCGAGGAATCGAGGATTGATATCAAATGCAGATCTCACACCTGAGATTCGCCATTCAAGTCTCAAGATCGATCTCACAAATAGGGATGCTGATGTGCCAGAGGTTAGGAGGTGGGAATTTCCTTAGCTCGGAGCCGATCAATAGGAATACGGTTATTAACGTATGTTGTATATCAATATGGTGGGCGTTAAAGCGGACGATCGTCAACCTGCACAACCTTTAGATAAGTAAATACATCAACAACAAAGGCATGCTGGCGAACAACCAAAGGATGGTTTCACCAGACACAGGAGGCATGAATGAAGCTGCTTCTGCATAAAGCGCGGTTTGAGGCTGACAATGCGGAGGTGGATGTGGAGAAGCCGGCAGAGGAGGAGGAGGAGGAGGAGGAGGAGGAGAAGGAACTACTGCTAGTAGTAGGAGGAGAAGGATGCAGAGTTAAAGAATAATAGGGGCAATGAAAAGGATAGAGAAGATGGTGATGATGGCTAGTGGAAGTGATGACTGTGATGATAGTGACAATGGCGATGATGATGGCGATGATGGTGATGATGGCCATCATGATCGTGATGATGGTGACGATGCGAGTGCTGATGATGACGGTGATGATAAAATCATCGTGATGATGATGGCAATGATCGTGATGATGATGATGGCAATGATCGTGATGATGATGGCAATGATCATGGCGATGATGGTAAGATGATGGCAATGATGATGGTGATGATATGATGATGGTCATGATAGTGATTCCAGTTGTGTGGTTGGTTTTCTTGCAGGCAGTCCTTTGTGCTGGTCTCTATCCTAATATCGCAGCAATGACCGAAGAGAGTATTCTTCTTGGGCATGCATCGGCAATAAATGCAGCTGGTGGGGGTTCTGGAGCAAGGCCTAAATGGACGGACGGAGAGCGGCCAGTGGCCATCCACCCTTCCTCCATCAATCATCCACTCACCAACTTCAAGTTTCCTTTTATGGTTTATCATGAGAAGGTAAGTGCGCTACAAAACTCTGTCAGATACTCAGGTCTGAGTCCGTGAATATCTCACTGGATTCGTTTTTTTAACCTCTTTCGTACTTTGACAATGTTTTCCCGTAAGTGCCCTTTCTTCTAGATTTTCCTTGTGTCTTAAGGTTTTGGACTGGTTATGGTTCCTGTTGCTCTGGCCGCCGGTGCTGGTTCTCGTTCTGGTGCAGTTTTTGGTTTTGGTTCTGGTCCACGTTTCTGGTTCTTGTGCTGGTTTGGAATCTGATTCTATTTTTTGTCCTGGTTTTGGGATGTGTTCCTGGTACCGGTTCTGGCTCTGTTTCTCGTTCTGATTCAGGTTCTTGTTCTGGCTCGTGTACGGGTTCCGACTCTGGTTCAGTCTCTGGTCATTGGTCTGTGTCAACTTCTGCTCCTGGTCCTGGTTCTGGATCTGGTTCAGTTTCTGATCCTTCTTCCGGCGTTGGCAGTTGCTGCAATTTTATATTTCGGAAAGTTCCTTTGTTGTCTGGTAAAGAAAGGGCAATTGCGGCAGCGTCCCTGAAATGGAATTCTTTTTCCAATTCTTTTGTTCTTTTTCTCTCCTGATCCCTGATGTAGATTAATAAATTATTTAAAACTGGGGCCTTGTTGCCTTGTCTCTCCTTTTGTCTTCTTTTGGTTGGCACTCGACAGGTCCAAACTTCCAGAGTTTTTATAAGGGATTGCAGTGTCGTCTCTCCGTACCAACTATTGCTGTTTGGAGGGCCTATCACAGTGCAGCATCAGGCAAGTTTTTATTTTTATTTTTTAAAGAAAGGGCGACGTCCTTTTTCAATATTCACGATATATATATATATATACAGAGCTGCCCGGTAAACCGTAGGCAGAGAGGGAGAAGAGGACAACAAACGAGGGGCTGTGACAAACTGTTTCGTTGGAGTGTGACCTACCAACTCATCATCAAGAGGCTGAACTCTCAACAATCTGCAGAATCCCCTAGTAACTCATTACACTGTAAGTGATAATCCACCTTAACCCCAGCTGTGGCCGGCTGTGGTTAAACATCAACGACTGCCCAGTGGTCGGGGCCGTCACTACACGGCCATGCTGTGCCTCTAGTGCCAGCCGCGTGTCTGGAGTGTATTTTTTGGCTGTGACAGACCTTTCTTTGTTTCGTGGGTGTTTTGCTTGCTTGTGATGGGGTGTGTATATAAATTAGTATAAATCGTAAATGAAATAAATATTGATGTTAACGTATACTTTGATCTTTGACGGCTTTACCAAATTTCACTAGTTGTTCCTGTTTAGTGTTCCTTTGCTAATAAGCTTAACTTGGTCTTCTCGTGCGATTTAAGGTACACAATTCTGTAGACAAATTTCAGGGCGACTGAATTTTAGGCAAGTAATTTGCAGATATCGGTTTCTGAGTTTCTGCAATTTGGCATGCCTGTGCAGTGGTGGAAATTGGAAATTTGTGCTTATGCCTCTGCTGTTCTGCGCCGTCTTTGTCTACCTTTTCCTTTTTCCGTTTTGCCCCTTCTTTTCCTTTCTTTGTCTGATTTTGACAGCGTTCCCCTTGTTCCATTCCGTATGCTCATTCATCATTCCCTCGCGCCAGAAAAGGGGGGGGGGGGGGGGGGGGGAGGGGAGGGGAGGGTTGAAAAGGAAAAGCTATATAAAAAAAAAAAGAATGAACCAACTGGCCTAGCTCAGTTGGTACACCCACAAACTGTTGAAATACAGACCCAAGTTCGAATCCAGATACAATCGGATGACCAGAATAAATTTAATAAATCATTCTGAATTACCTGGGGCCGGTCAGTTCAACGATGATATCTCAAGGCCGTCGCCCTTTCGTTTTTTTTTGTTTTTTTTTTTTTGAAAGAATGATTGTCTGCTACCTGCCATTAACTCATGAGTCCTGAACATTATTGTCTCCATTCGGATTTGAATTTCGAACTCGCGATCTGTTTCTCAACAACTACATGTGCAGGTAGTATTGTGTGTCATCACTGCCTCTTGCAGCTGCAGCGCTGGGGGGTCTCGACACTCTCGTCTGTAGGTAGCATACATAACGAATGAATGTCTGACATTTGCCATTCACGCTTCTCTGACATCTTACTTTTCTTTTCTCTAAACAAAAATCTCTGACATCTATCTGGCAGACTGGCCAAGTGACAGTGGATGGATGGCTGTCTCTAAAAGCCCCAGCTCAGATCGCCGTTCTTTTCAAGGAGTTGCGGCGAGCGTTGGATGCGCTGTTGGCACAGAAAATCAGCCGTCCGAAACAGGTGAGTGGGATGGTTTCTCTAACTTTGTCAAAGTGTTCTTGGCTTTGGGAAGTTCTTCCTGGGCTTGTCTTAGTTTTCTCAGAAGGTTTTACGGTGAAGGTTTTACGGTGTCGGTTTTACGGTGAAGGTTTTACGGTGAAGGTTTTACGGTGGCTCATTGCTCGGTAATTTCCATGTATTTGATCTGGCTTAGACTGGTTGGCTAATACTCTGACCCAGCAGCTTTTCGCACGGGACGAAGAATACGAAACTCTTTCTTTTCATGAATATGGATTACGAATTTCACTGCGGGAATTATCATTTTGAAAGTGTGTTTTGTTGTTTTTTGTTGTTTTTTGTTGTTTTTTGTTGTTTTTTGTTGTTTTTTGTTGTTTTGATCAGCTATCGTTTGTTATGCAGAAAAGAGGGGCCGGCCACCGCCACATAAAGACTGGATCTGGGAGCAGTATAGGGTATAGGACGGATCACGGTGGAGGTAGTGTGGGATTTAAAGTTTAAATGTCAAAAGGGGAGAAAGTAGGTAGTACAGAATCTACAGATAGAAGTTTAACTGTAGTCAGAGGATATAAGCTTGGGTTTAGGGCTTAGGTTCAGGAATATGAGATATAAGAGTTTTATTCTGGCAGTGGTACTCCTTGTTCAGGTCTCTCGGGGTCCTGTCAAACTCTGCGGGGATTATCAATGTCGAGGGAAACCAATTTTTTTATCGTGATGTTACTGATGTATGTTTTTTAAGTTCACCCAAAAAAAAAAGAAACAATAGTACAATACCGCAAACATGCAAGTAAATAAGCAATGCGAACAGCAATAAAGTTGAATAAAGTTCAGTAAACCAAGTCGCAACATCTCAGAGAAGACCAGACATCCTTGAGCCGAAATTGAAAGAAGAAATCAAAGCGAGATCCACACCGAATAGGAACGAGCAAGGCACCGAAGTCTCCTGTGATAACGAAAGCCCTTCCAAACGCCTCCAATCAGCAATATAATAACAATGTAGCCCTCCTACAGGCGGCTGTACCGCCGACTCTACTTCCTACAACTCCTATCGGACTAGCCTACTTATGGCAGCAACTGGTCGACGTGTCATCATCGCGATGCCGCTCAAAGACTCTGATCGAACAGCCTGCCTTCATCAACACCGGGTAGTACGGGTACATGCCTCGTCACACTGCCTCTCTTCCTTCTCTCCCACGTCCTTCTTCCACCAAGAACCTCTGCTACTCCACTCAGCTATGGAGCAGGCAGCCCGGCTATCGCTACCACTCTCCCCTTCTTCCTCCTCGCTTCGACTGTGCAGCGTCCTCTTTGGGTGCACGCGCTGAGCAGCCGCTTGTGCAGCGCTTCCGTATGCTGAATGCCCAAATGTCCATGCCACGTGCCCTCCAGTCTTTCGTGCTGGCTCGAGAGGCTGAGGAGGCTGTGCCCAGGCTGCGCCTTGGGCCCTTCCAGAAGGCTGGGCGCAAGGCCCAGCTTCTTCAACTAATTCGTAGGCTGGGCCTACCGATTCAGTGGAGGATGCTGCATGCGTGCTGCAACGACCTGGAGCTTCTTACTGCTCACATTGGCCTATTCTCAGTCCTCGCTGCATTTTGGCAGGCCAGCCTTCACTCAGGGCGAGCATGGCCTCGTTCTGGCTTGCCAGAGGTCCTGAATCCTTGCAAATGGAATAATCAAAAGAAAGAATAATCAACTTCGCTGATCAAATATCGCTTCGCTTAACTGTTGAAACGATTTCCCTAAGTGTGAGGCTCCAGGCCTCAGCGGCCTATGTCTGCCGCAGGAAATGTGCCTCACGCCACCCTAAGTGAAGGCAGTCCTGGAAATTGACGCCGGCCCTGAGTGAAGGCCGGCGAGGCCGCCCTTGAGTCGGCTGACAAGCGCCATCCCCTGTCACTAGGGTAGGCCCCGCCTGCGAGTTGGTTACGGAGACTGGGACCTGGACGCTGTCCCAGTAGCCCGCAGGCGATGCCGACTGGGCCTGAATGCAGCCCCTGGACGCGGCCTCCAGTCCGGGATAAAAGTCTGGAGGCCGGCAGCCAATACACATTCCAGCAGGAGACTGCACGGCGGGAGCGCTGTTGCACACGGAGCAGGAAGAGCTCCAGCCATAGCTGGGCACAGGGAAGCTGAGTTGCAAAGTGTGGAGGTCAGGGAAGAAGAAGGGCAGTGGGGACTGGCGGTTCTTACCTGGTGTTTGCAGAGAAAGCCTGAATGAGCAGTCTTCAAGGAGCATTGGGCGATTGACACGTGGGCAGAGAATGAGGTTGTAGAGGCTACCGTCTTCCCCTGAACATAATGCATATGCGTTGTAAGCGAATACAACGCATAGATTGCTTTCTATTCGGATACAATGTGTGTGCATTCTAGTCAAATCCCTGATCTTCGAAGACAAGGCATATGCATTGTATTCAAATTTTTGGATTTTCCGAGAACTAGAATACAACACATGTGTTATGTTCGGATGAAGACGGTAGCAGGTAGTAGGAAGTAGGTTAGGGCAGACACACCGCAAGTAGGGTAGGCTTCTACATTGTTGCTCATTGATGATTGGAGGCCGATGTCGGGCTTTCCTTATGAAGATACTACGGTGTTTTGTTTGCTCCTAAATGGTGTCCATTTGGCTTTGGTTTTCTGCTTCCAACTCCGCTCAATCATGCGTGGTCTTCTATGCGATTTTTCGCTATCTGGAAAGTTGGTGTTCTGGTTGCGCAGTTCCTTGCATCCCTTACTCCCAAGGCAACGAGGCTAGTAGTGCAGAAGCATCTGAGCCATGGACTTGCAGAGTACTCCAGGAGGCAGGTGATGACACTATGGCAGAAGCTCAGTAGGCAAGTGGACAATGGCACAAGCTCAGCAGATGATAACACCATGGCTTACGTGTACAGCCTGTGCACTTGGCTTCTGCGTGGTGTTAACAGTAGTAAGTCCTACTTATACAAGCGAGGACATGACGCACGTAGGCCCTAACATGACGGGTCTACACCGCAAAAATCATGAGCTGCCGCAAAGTAGACATCAGATCCTGCGAAGTTGATAGGGTGCTTTCGCCAACGCGAGAAATGCACCCGGCAAGTTTGAAAAATCTCTACCACTAATTTAAAAAACCATTCTCGCTTGAGCCGAATCCAGCTGCTCAGCGCAAAATGTGGCAACGCAGTCGCAAAAATGTATGGCATTTTCGCGAATCTATTTTTCAGATCCACGAGCTTGCTGGATCAAAGGAGTAACTGAAAAAAAAAAGTAGCAAGTGGAGGAGAAATGTGACAGGTGTCTTCCTTGTGGCTTCACGACACACACATGTAAGTGTTGATAAACAAATGAGTGTGTACTTAGACCACCACTACCTTTCACGCTGGGAGGCTAAGTCGTGAATATAACCTATACTGCATTCCCCGGAGGCCAGCGGAGGCTGGGCGCTACCGGACCACACAAGCTGGTGGCGTCACTGGCGTGCCAGCCAAAAGAAAAACGAAAAAAGCCATGCTGGCGCTTCAACCCCCCATTGGCGTGCAATTTGACTCCGCCTTGGGACTAGCAGTTGGTCTGGGACTTACCTTGGAACTACGATTTTCTTTGGCGGCGCGTATATTTTTTTTTCTTGGGTTTCTCGAGCGAGTGAGGAGGAGGAAAAGATAGCAAGAGGGGGCATGGAGATTGAGGGTGTCTTAGTAATCAGCAGCAGAATTAGCTGGCTGATGTCGTGAGTGGATGGAGAGAGGGGGATGGAATAGGGCTCTCGATGGGTACCGGCTAGGGGGAGCTCTTATCAGATGCGATTGGCGTTGGGTAGCTTAGGCTGTCTGATGGGTACCGGCTGATGAGGTCAAACTCTGGCACGATTGGCGTTGGGTAGTGCTGGTTCACCTCCTTGAGGACGGAGACTGGAATTCTGTGGGGCCAAGGGTTTTAAGGGTGATGATGGTGCTCGGCCCCTGCTAAGATGAGGTCCTCTGGATTTCTCTACGAGGATGGAGTTTGGAAGGACAAGATGAGATTTGGATGGAGGAAGTTGGTAGTGGATGCGATTGGCGCCGAGTATCTCGGTGGGTACCAGCCACTGGCCACTAACTACACCTGGATCAGCTTGTGGTTCTTCTCTTGAGGTTCTTCCTGTTGATGATGGAGGGAGGATTGTTCCAATGTTACCCCCTGGCCGCAGCCGAGTTCGGCCGTGGCCGCGGCCGTCGGCCGTGGCCGGCCCCCCCCCGGCCGCGGCCAAACGCGGCCGATAATTTTGGTCGAGGCCGCGGCCGATCGGGGAGGGGGGTTGGGGGGCGGGGAACGGGGAACGGGTTTCGAGTCGTGGGGGGTCCCCCTACCTCCTCGCAAAAAAAAAAAAAAAAAAACTTCGAAAACGGGGGGGTGGATTTCGAAGACTACCAAAAAAAATTAAATAAATAGAAAGAAAAAAAAATCATTGATTGACTGTTTTTCTTTTTATTGATTGATTGATTGATTGATTGGTTGATTGATTGATTGATTGATTGATTGGTTGGTGGGGGAGGGGTCCTCCCTCCACTCCACGGCGTGCGCACCTCTCTCTCTCT